AAATATTTGGATGTTATTGCCATTTTAGCTGTCCACCACAGCATAACAGGACTGAAATAATGAACATGAGGTCAAAGTGCAGACTTTTCAGTTTTTTGACAGTATTTATATCCAAGTCGGATAAACAGTATTGGAATTACAACCATTTTCTTACACAGTGAGTTTTGAAGCATTTGCCTGAATCTGAGTGGATAATGTAGCCAAATACACTTCAGAATTAATCCTGCTGCTTTTGTCAGCAGTTACATCATCAATAAATACAAGGGAACCAGTTCCACTTGCAGCCATACATGCCCACGCCATAGCACTACCTCTACTATGCTTGACAGATGAGGTGATATGCTTTAGCACATGAGCAGTTCCTTATATTCTCCATATTCTTCTCATCGTTCAGGCACAAGACTTTAACACTGATACGTCTATCTCCTGGGAAAAGTGTTCTTGATCTGTCCATATATCTTCATTGTTCCTTAACTGATTTTATTTTTGTTATCTTTTATTTGATCAAATCTGATATCTTCCATGATCTTAAATCTTATATATTGTAGCATCCTGCTACTGGCTAGCACTGGCACCAAGAGACTCTGGAGGTGTGGCTAGGAAGATGGCCACATGCAAAAGCTCATGCTATGTGCATGTCCCCCAGTAAAGGAACTATTTGTATATTCATTGTTGTGGTCTGTTAGTTGTAGTTATGTGTATATGTTACTTGAGTTGTTCTTTGTCGAGGGCTGTGGGTTTTTGGGGGGGCTTTTGGTGAGCTTCCCCTCAAGCTTGGTGTTGTGTGTGTGTCTTTCTTGCTGCACGTTTAATAAAGAGCACTTTTTGTAGCAGATAATTGCCATCCCTGTTTCTTCTGCTGATGCTACAATATCTTATTTTCTGTGATACTTAAAGTGCTATGTAAATAACATTGATTTTCTACAAGCTCCAATATCATATATCTGATCTCATGAACTTCTTCTGTGCCCATAGCTAAAGATACAGTAACTCTGTTTACATAATACGCCAACCAAACAGTATAAATGTGCTTAATATTTTGGCCAAAGATGTTCCTATGTAGTGTGAAAATGTTGCAGTAATCTGGGTTTTATTGTTTTCACATCTCTTCATTATTACTGGCTATCAAGGCTAGCATATAGTCAAGTGGTTGCCAAGGTGACGAGCGACCCAAGGAGAGAAGTTGCCTCAGGTATGTGCACTAAAGCCTTAACTGTTAGAAAGCTAATGGATGGTTCTTTAAAATCTTTCCTGTCAGAGTCAGACAGAGAAGGATTTAACTGTTACAGAACATTCAGATTGTCTGTTCCACCAAAGTACACTGCAGTCTGCATTATTTCAAATCCAGTGTGTCCAGTTACTGATGGACCTCACTGTACATTCACAGTGAGTGAGTCAATTTGAACAATCATTATTGAATAGGAACTGCCACTGCCATTTCTTTGACCTTGATTTAATTATTCTACAAATGTAGATATCTCTACCTACCTAGCTTTAATGAACACTGCACAAGTACACCTTCCAGTGTAAGAATCATGGCAGCGTTACCTATTTTTACCCTTGTCTTCTGGCACGGCGTCTTTTTTTAATAAAACGATGGTCTGTGTTCAGCTCACAGTCTTTGCTTCTTTGTTTTATCTCCCTGCTTAAGTCACGCAGTAATCTGTGGCACGTAAGTGTTGTTTAGCCCAACAGACATTTTAATTTGCACAAATGGGGCTCAAAAAAGCCTCGGGAAAGCCTTTGAGCGTGTTGTCTTTTTGTTTACCCAATCAAACTTTGCACCCTTTGCAGTTTGAGAATCCAGACTGCTCAGGCTAGGTTTCTCACGACTGTGCTTTCAGAAGGTTCCCGTGTTTGCCTATACGATGAAAGCGAGATCATGTCTGCTGAGGCTGTAGTATGTTTCTGTGACATCAGCACAGCTACAGTCAGTGTCACTCTTAGGCTGAAGGAAAGAAATGACACATGTATGTACTGCTGCCATCAGCGACTCTTTGAAACGTCTCACAGCAAGGTCGTTTTAAACACATCACAGCAGAGCATCACGTGCATGATGTTTATGTCCTAAGGATAAAAGAATGACTTCTAGCATCTGGCACAAAGCCTCCGTATTAATCAGCCATTAAGGAGACTCCCAAAACCAAATGTTTCTGCGATGCCAAAATTAACTAGGGTGATGAATGTGCATGATCTGCTTGACAGTGTAATCTTTTGTTTACAATCCAGCTACTGCATCGATGCTGAAACAGCTAACCTTTGATATGTGCTGTCATCAGAACATAATCACAATCAATTTAGAGGAAATTCATTGGGATTGCATTTCAGAGCCCATCAAAACTTCATTAATTTTGCTTAGAGAGCACAGTCATTAATGGCTTACCAAAGACGTGAGCCTAATGCCAAACGTGTGAAAGAAACAAGAAGAAGGGAAAGAGGGAAAATGGTCAGCCACACTGTGTTCCACCAGCAGATGAAGGACATAGATGCTACATTTCCTCTCCTTTACACAATCACTATAGTCTTATTTGAGATGCGACCACAGTAAGACTGTGCAAATTCTTAGAAAATGAAAGCAATATATCGAAAGATTTATTATCCAGAGTGTAGAGAAACCTCATGCTGGAAGGGACAAAAATGTAATAAATGCTATATAGTTTCAAAAGTTTTCATGTACGTTCACACAGATGAAAATGGCCCAGAAATATTAAGCACATATTGAAAAGTCTGGGGACAAGATCATGACGACTAAAAGATCTTACAGGCATAATACATTAACACATTTAGCATGAGTCACAGAAACCACTTTCCACAGCTTGACACATCTTCCTCAATGGCACGCAAGAGAGGCACTTGCCACGACTGTATGAATCCACATTTCACCCATACCACTTTCACATTGTTCCTTTCAATTCTCTTTCCTCATGAAAACTTTTATTGCTCAAGTGACTGACATATTGCTTTGGTTTTAAATATTCTGTTAAAATCTCCATAAATGAATAGCAAATGAGCACTGCTGGGAATAAATTAGCTGTCTGTTAATTAGGCGTTAAGCCATCTTTTGAATAGCGCATCTTGGGGGAGAAGAGTGGCGTATGCACGCAGGGGCTAAGGGGTCTCATTCTCCGAAATGACAAGAAAGGAAATAGCCACCCTCTTCTCCACTCTGATCATCCTACCTTACAGTACTGTGGGCTCGCAGGGGTTGTTATCTGCCGTTAGTGGCACTGTGACTCAAGGCTATTTCTGCAGTGCATTCTTGCTTCCAGCTCGAGAATGGAGCGAAGGGAACTTAAGTGGAGCTCTGCTTGCCTAACAGGGTGGCTCTTGAGCTCCTCTCTCTGAAAACACACTCTCAATTTTCTGAAATTGCATTTACAGTTCATAGTGAAGGATGCTTCCCTGGCTGCCTCAGAAAGTAGAGGTTTATTAAGAGAGAACCATAGATGAACCTTGTAATACATGGCCTGACTGTCATTAGCTTTCATCAGAATGGGTTAATACGTAATGTGTAATTTTGTTTCTGGTATATTACGGTTCAGTTATTAAGCTTAAATGTTGTATATAGCACCTTCTAATTAGTCTGTAAGTATAATGATACCAATATTTGTGTTATGTACACTCAAAAAATGTACACAAAAACATAGATGCCAAACAGCTAGCCTAGTGGGCCAGATGTGACCTCATAATGTACTGAGACACTGTTTAACCTTTGGTACTAGACTGCCGTTCTAACAAGAGTATGCCCCCTCCAAAACCTTCCCCTGGTTTGTAACTCTTTTCTTCTGCAAGAGGCAACATTTATGTTTACTGCATGTAAGGTGTTCTCGGCACACGTGATACATATCTGCATGCCCAACCACAGTATTCTGAGGGGACTTTTCAGCCATACTTACTTTACATCTTTACAACAGGCTTGCCTATCTAACAAAATTGACAAGCCCCCCATTGCACCGTACTAAGAGCTCTGTCATCACGAAGCGTTTTAGAAACTTCACACTCAATTTGTTCCCACTCCAAAGACTTAATGTTGTTATCTACACTCAACATTTCTCAACATTGTTATTACAAGATCACATCTGGCCCTGTGAGACTACCAAAAAGGTTGGAGTGATAGTTTTATTCCACTGTAAAATCCATTTTGGCATTAAAAAGGTGCTGTCTTGATTTACTAAATGGACGCAAAGGTCTTTTAATGTCCATAAACCAGTCAAAGGGCTGTATGCAGCTCTTCTGTGCTTTTGTCTCCTTGCATCAGCATCAGAGTTTTTGTCTCAAAATGCAAAATACTGGCAGGCGATAATTATAATTAACCACCTACTGCCATTTATCCAGACTCATAATAAATACTGATTGTGTGTTAAAAGCTTGTCTTATTTTTGATGCTAACTTAAACGTAAACATAACATAAAACATAAAAAACAAACAAAAACAAAAATAATACAGAAACCAAATAGTTTAAAAATAGTTTTGAAGATATTCTGACTAAATGGTTTTCCAAACTATTGTTAAAAGCACATTTTGACCTATTGTTCAGGTCATATGTTAATTATAAAGTTGTGCTTGTGTTCATTTGCATGAAAATTCTTTGTAGATAACCCTCTGAAAAAAATGCTCTGCTGAGGAAAATGCTAATCGATTGCCAGTAATTAGCTCCTCTTTTAGTAAATCAGACCCAGGTTTCCTTGAAAAACCTTTCAGTTAATGGTTCTTTATTTTTGTGAATGAGATAAATGATTTTGAAGAAGCTTTTTCCTAAAACCAAATGTCCAAGAGCCATTTAGGAACTATTATAATAGTGTAGTAATGAAAAGGAGAATTTAAAGTGTTGGTCTACAATAGGGATTGTTTTGGGCAGTTTAAGATGTAAAGAGAGAATTAAGAACATTTTTAAAGGCACATGAGTAGGTACACTTACACTGAAAACTACCTTTAGATGGACAATATCTTAGTGAAAGTCGTTGAAGGCAAACATACCAGCATATTTTAGGAACACTTACACTGTACTATGAGCTCGACCACAGCTTCTCGAGGCTTGACATTGAAGCCGTTGTACTGGCTGGTCTGGCAGCGGTAGGAGCCGGTCATCTCCCGAGACACGTTGACGATCCGCAGCACCCCGTCATAGCTCTCCATCTGCATGTTACCATCAGGCATGGGTACCTCTTTATCGGCCCGTGACCACAGGATGATGGGCTTGGGTTTTCCTGAAACAAGGCACTCCAGCTCCACCGTCTCGCCCTCCCGCACCACCAGTGGGGACTTGCCCCGTGGGACGGTCAGGCTGGGGGGAACTAAGAAAGAGAAAAACAGAGGAGGGACTGATATGGGGCTCTAGAAAGCCAACAGACGGGGTCGCTCAGAATGGTCAACAGCGAAAGAGTGGTGTTCAGATGTTAGAGCATGTGTGCTGGTCAAGACTGACAGACACGCGTATGAAGTGGTTATACACTGAAAAGCAAATGCCTGATTTGAACCCTAAGACATGAATGCAAAAACATATACCATAACAGTCATAGTATGATCAGCTGATGTGAAATGATCACTAAATAAATGTAAGAGCATGTGGACCAGCGAGGACCAAAGAGAGAATCTCCGATAGCAAATTTCAGAAAGATACTGAATGCTGCAATTTGAGGTGGTTTTAAGAACTACCCAATACACAAATATTGGAGTTCTACTGTCTTCAACAGTGAAAGTACACCAAAATGTCAATTGAAAAAAATAAAACTTGTCAGTGCACTAATACACTGTATGTCCAAAAGTATCCAGGCACCCTTTCTAATTAGTAAATTCAACTATCTGGTGCACCCATTGCTAACACAGGCCTTCAACTGCACAGCTTGTATAGAAATGCATTTATAGAAAAGCATTGTCAAGCACGGCCATCCTCACATGGGTCTAAGGTCATCATTCCCAAAGCCGAGTGGAACTGTATTCTCTGGAGTGTTGGAGCTCCATCCAATACCTAATCATCAAACATCAGTACCTGATCTCACGAATTCTCTTGTAGCTGAATGCAATCAAATCCTCACACAGATTTAGGACTTTAGCATTTCTATAAGGGATTATAAAAACAGAGGTTTCACTCAGTTCTCCCAGACAATCATACAGTTGTCTCAAAAACCATTGCAAATTCCACTGATTTCAAAGACAAAATGATAAACATTCACAACTAACCAAGTGGAATCTAAACACATCCAACGGTGTGCAAACCAACAAAATGCCTATCAGCTCAAAAATGACACTACAGCCATTAAAACAATATAAAGCAGCTCAATACGTAATGAGGTAACCCCTCAAAAGCCATAAAACATGCTAATGCAGTCACAAATAAAAAACAGAAGTCATGAGGTATTGTAATAACCTAATTAATGTAGATATAACCTTTCTTTGCTCCTTTATACACTGGAATTCTGCAGCACATTGCTCCTTAATGACAAAAAGCCATTAATCTTATTAGCAATATCCTAAAAACAAGCTCTAATGAATAGCTATTATAGGACTGGAGACTGGAGGGACCTAAATGCACTTTGCCATTAAGCAGAGGCCACCTTTTCTACCAAAAGCCTGTAAATGCACCAAATCTGGGTGCAATTAGGGTTGTTTGGGCTAGCGGCCACACTCTCTGGTGCACACTAATGAAATCCTGCTCTATAGCAGCTATTATTGGATCTCTGAACTGGATCTCCTGCTGTGGATGTACCTGAGAGGCTGCTGAGATATTGACTGAGATCTCTTCGTCCGGTCAACACTGGCCACTGGATGCCACAAGTGTTCTGCATGCTCACTTACTACAACAATAAGCTTTCAGGATTCAAAATATCAAAAATGTTTCACTTTCATCTGCATCATTTTTGCCCTCAAAGTGCTGCAGTTAAATGGAAAGCGACTTAGTCAGATGACTCATAAATGATCTGTCCTCGGCTGAGACTACAAAGAACTGCTCAGTGTCAAGCTTTTCTTGCAAAGTCGGACAGCTTTAAACAACAACAAAAAAAATGCTTATCTATTTCTTGGATTGGATTGGCAGTCTGACCAGAATCCTAAAATGTGAAGTACTTGCAACTGTAAGCAGTTTACATGATATGAATTGTTCAAGATCATAAAATGTCACTCAGTTTTCCCCTTCTCTGCCAAGAAGAGCCGAGCTATTTGGAGTCAGACCAGCCATCAAAAGCTGTGACAAGACAAATAAATAAATAAAACTGACATGGTCCTTTGAAACAAGTGGAATGACATCACTTGCTCATTGCCATAGCAACACATCAGCCTGTCAGTGTCTGTCTGCCTAAGTCTTTCTTTCTCTCTCTCTCCCTGTGCGTGTTCCTACTCTATAAGCTTGACAATATGTCTTTGTGAGCATTTGCAGTAATGTGTTTTTCGCATGAGTATTCGTGTATGAGTTTTATGTATATGTGAGTGGATGTGTCTATGTGCGTGTGGTTTCAAATGACAGTGTGGAAGGATGCTCCTGTCTCTGAATGGTGCATACATAGTGAAGAGAAAACTGTTGCCTGTGGAAAGCCACCAAAGGGGGTGGAGAGTACCAACATTAGAGCTGTGCAGAAGATTAGGAGCCATTGAAAAAAAGACGCCAACCAGGTCATCCATTTTTACTGCTACCATTCCTGATTTTCCCCCTTAAACCTAGACACGTACTGTAAATGTGGAGAGGTCTCATAAGAAAATGCCAGCAGAAAACCAAAACAGGCAACAGGAATATTGGCAGAGAGAGCAACCGAAGGTTAGGCTTAGATGAAGATATAAAAGCAGAAGGAAAATTGATAACCCTCATCCTCTTATTGCACTTCTTCTAATATAGTTCCTTCAAAATTTCATGAGCTCAGCAAAGCCAGAACAGCTTATTTATCTCTCGCCGGCTTGTCTGGGCTGGAACGGACAGAAGTGTTTTGACGGTATGCGGTTGCCTGCTGGCCAGGCGCTCTGAATAAATCTCTGGGAGAGAATGCAATGGCCCACAGTCAATGGTCCATTTATAAAATAAGCCATGAGTATGTGTAATGTATAGCTTGAAATATCTGTCCGAACCCAATGGGTCCCAACTGCCCATGTCTGGTTCAGTTGGATTCATTTTCACACTTGAGTTCTTACAACCCATCTTCCACCTTTACCCTGCATTTCCCCTGCTTTAGGTTTACTCCGTCCTTTATTCTACCTTCCTACTTTCAATACCTTAAAACAGTTTTTAATTCGGCATGTTGGACTCACCAGAATTTAGTATTGATTTCCTAGAGGCCCATAAAAAAGGAAGCACGCCAAATAAAAAGCAACCTATTCAAGAGAAGACTTCATTTAGTTCAGCCAATAGGACATTTAATTAGTCGTAAAGTATAGTATTTTTACATTATCATACGCATTCAATCAATATTATCAAACACAAGTTTATCTACACTAAGAAATGTTTGGAATGTTGTTCAAAAGCATTGCTTGGTGATTGAATTCATTATAGCGGGATCATATTATTTTTTATTATTTTTTCTTTCATTTGTCCTTGTTCTAATGATGGCTATTATTGTTGTTATGCACTAATTTAAAGCCTCTGTTAATGCAGGGCATTCATACGCATACAGGTCTGTGCTTTGCAGGGCCTGTGAATAGCCTCAATTTCATGTGTTATCAATAGCCTCTTATTCTTCAACGCCAGTTCCAAGCCCCGATCACCTCTGTGTGGAGCGAGTGACAAAGAATGTCTTGCTTTTCATTTCGGTGCCCATGTTATCAGGTTACAGCTATGACACACGCTGCACGAGCAGCACAGCAGAGTGTCCCAGACACAGAAGTGTCATGGCATATAAAAGCAGTATTTTTTGCACATTAGCTCCACACAGTTCTGAGGAGGGTGACAAAAAACAGTGCTTATGCTGTATGTGTGAATGCACTTTAGGTCTTGTGAGTTTTTAAGGGGGGCCCAGTCCAAAAGCTTTGCAAAAGGCACTGACGGGCTTTATTTGGCACTTTGAGTTATAATGGGCTGGTTCAGGTCAGTGTTGGACAGAATTTTGTTGGACTCGGGTCGGTTTCGGACTTAAAACCTGATTATGTGGTTCAGGTCCAGTCAGGTACGGACAGAATTTTTTGTCGTGCTCGGGTCGGGTTTGGACTAAAAAACGCTGTGTGTCAGGTCAGACCCAGACAAAAAATGTGGGTTCAAGACAAGGCCCGATTAAAACTCAAGTGAGATGATAGAGCAGAAGATGGTAGTAGAACACTATTTACCTAGTCCTTCCTTAGTTATGCAGGTAAGTAGTGTTTGTTGTTTTTTTCACCAGCCCCTAATATCCTGCACAGTTCTCATGTTGTTGTTCTTCACCTCTTTCGGTGGCTTATTAGGCAACAGTTTTCATTGTTCATGTACCATTCAGACAGAGGAGCATCCTTCAGCACTGTCATTTACAACCAGATGCACACATGAAAAGATGTGTCACATAAGGCTTTTTTCTGGGTTTTCCAATAAAATTAAAAGGCAAAGCTGACAGCCTAAAACTGTTGTTCCATCTCCCATAAGCTTGCACTTTATGTAACACCATTGTGAAAAGGGAAGCTAATTAATTAGCTCATTAACATATACTCAAAAAAAATTGCCTCAAATAGTCACTGAATAAAAAAACACCTCTGATAGAACTGTTTGCTTGCTGTTGCTACATTTCCTCTCAGCCAGCTCCAAAGAAGCACACATTGGCAACCATTATGAAACACATGCACAAGAGCATTGTAGCAGCACCAGAGGTGGTGAGAGAGCACTGCAGAAATCACAACAGCCAGCAAGAGAAGCAGTCAAAACAGCACACAAACTTCCACACAGATCAAAAACAATTGCACCATGCCAACAAAGCACAATGTAAGAAAGGACAGGTTCTGCCCAACCGAAGTGTCCAAGTTGCACTGCTGTGGATGGAAGACGACAGCTGTTGCTTCAATCTCTGGCTAATTGGTCTGTTTGAAGAAGACAAAGACTTCAGACTGTGCTGCTTTCTTCAAAGAAAGCTTACTGCTGCAGTTCCTCACATTTGCTGACCAACACACTCAAAAAGAGAGGGCACACTGGGGTGGAAAATTGAAGGGTAACAATGCAAACGCTATCATATTCAAGTTGCTGAACTCCTCTACAGAAACACCACAATGGACAGGCACATTCCATCTGCTGTTGCGGGAACGTTCCTTCACCAGTTTCATATCCTTTCCTGCCATACTGGAGCGAATGAACAGAGCTCCAAATTGGCTCAATGAAAAAAAGATGGTGTTGGGTATGCCAGGCACAAAAACAGTATCA